CTTCCTCAGCTCCAAGCACCCACGTGCCCTGGGTCTTCTTAAAACCATCGTGGGAACCTGAGGAAGGGGAGAGGTGGGGACCTCTCCATGTCTCTTGAGGAGACCAGGAGTCCTGTCCACTCAGACATCCATTCTCTGTGGCATCTGGGTCATCAGTGGGGCCCCTCTGCCAACCCATGATCCAGCCCAGTTGCTGTTTCTTTTGGAGAAGACCGAGGCCGGCCGCCCCCAAGCTGCCAGGAACATCAACACTCCATCCAGGTTACCCTCTCCCTCCTCCCACAGATCTCTGAGCTGACATGCCACCTAAGGAGAAGGGGTGTGCGTGTGCTTGTGACCATCATGTGACCGTGACTGGAAGGTCAAGACCCCTGTGCAATTGGTTCCTCCGAACCTCCACCTCCTCTTCAAACTCATTCTCACATCTCCAGGCTTCTCCCTCCAGCCAAGGGCCTTGCTGTGCACTGTCCCCAGTGGAGCCCCTGGCCGATCAGTTTGCTTCCCCCTGCGTCCATCTCTGGGCATGCCACGCCCTGCCCAGCCTTCCTTGCCTTCCACCCCCCCCACCACCACCACCACCTTAGGCCTTATCAGGTATGACTGCCTGCCTTTACTCTTGGGCTTTCTCTCCCCCTGCCCCATAGAGCAGTTGGGTGTCTTTTAAGAGTTGCTATGAGTCGGAATCCCCTGGTTGACCCTGAGTTCCTCCTGCTGTCACCTGGGATAAAGGACATGTCATGGTGATTGGGCTCTGCAAATGCCTCACCTGATGATGAGATGGCCTCAATCCCCTTCCCAGGTGCCTCCCCTTATTCCCAATGCACAGAGAAGAAAATGGACTGTAGCGTTGGAGTTATTAAATGCCAAACCGGAGACCACATGGCTGGGACACACCAAGAGCCAGTTCCATCTGGTGTTGGGTCATCCATTTACCCTGAGGTTGGAGAAGGCCCCGTCCTCCCACCCCAATCCCTGACTCGAGGAGATTCTACCGAGCTCAAAGTGCCTCGGTAGGTCGGTCCCATGGTCCACCCCTTCCTCCTCCTCTAGGGGGCCCTCACATCTTATCACTGCATCCTCTTCCTCCCTTACAGTGCCCAAGTGAGTCCTCAAGGCCACCACCAATCATCTTCCTCACTCTCCACCAGTCTGTCCTACGGAGAATCCACTTGGCCCTGCAGGGGGTGGGGGTGGGGAACTGCGGTAGGCATTTCCGTGTAGGGCTCCTTCGAGAGGTGAACCAGGCCCCAGGAGGCGCCGCCCGCCCGCTGAGCGGGAATCCCGGCCCTAACCGCTGGCGCCCCTCAAAGGGAGGGGCTGGGGCGGAGGTGGTTCCGCGGCGGCATCTGGCCGAGGCGGGCGGGAAGCTGCTGCATTACATTGTTAAATCGATTTATTGACTGGCAGGTGCAAGCGGCGGCGCTGCCCCGGCGCATCTGCGAGGAGCGGCTACTGGGATCCAGGCCCCTCTCGGAAACCCGTCGGGTCCCAACCCTTTCTGGCCAGCTCGTTCACGGCTGCAGGTCCCGCACCTGAGCAGCTTCGGTAGCGCGACGCCCCTGGGATCACCTGCCCCTCCCGCCCCTGGCCGCAGGGGCTGGGCCGGGCCCCCACGGCTGTCTGCCAACCCTACTGCCCCAGTTGGCACGCGTCGGGCCAGCCTGACGCGTGGCAGCGCCCTACGGCAGATGAGGCACGCGCCGGCCTCATTTCAATGTGAATGGATCCAATGAAGCAGCCATGTGGCAGCAACAGTTTGCAAATCTCTCGGCCTTCTGTGCGGCTCCGCGGCCGCGGCTCCCTGCACGTGGCCCCTTCTCCGCAGCGACCGCAGTGATGCCCCTGAAGGCTTTGAGCGCCCCGCCCAAACCAGGCCTGCTTCTACGCCCCACCCTGGCCGGGCCCCCACCGCGCTGACACCCTGCTGCGGGCAGGCGCCCCCACTAAACTGCAGTATGTCACTGGATAGCGCTATCCAGGGGTGGGGACTTTGGAAGGCTGGACGTGCTGCAGCCCTGGAGATAGTGCATAAGCTATGTAGGGGGAGAGGACTCCTGCCTTACCGCACCCCACAGTAACTTGAGGCCTGCCTGGGGGTGAAGCTCCCTTGGACCTCAAGTGAGGGCTCACTTGATTCAGTAGAGTCTATTTGGGAAGCTGGGCACAGCGACCACGCAGAGATCTCAGGGACAGAAAGCTATAGGCTATGCGTTAAGCTTGGGCTGGACACTGAAGGACACACGAGTAACGATGCCCCCCCCCCCCCCCGGTGGAGAGTCCGGTTGTGTGTGTGTGTTACACCTGTGCTTCTTACATGTCTATCTTCATGTCAGCACCTGGGGCAGCAGCAGGGAGAGGGGTTGTCAAGCTCACCCTTTCAAAGCCTCCCATTCCTGAGGACTCCCTGTGTGGGGCTTTTCACTCCCTCCCCAAGTCAGGAACAGGAGAATGACAAGGGAGCCTCAGCAGAGGGTTGTCCACGATCTTCTCCTGGGACCCTGGCCTCTGGTTCCTTGCCTCAGTACAACTCTCTCCTGCCTCTGCAAGTGTGGGTCCACGCCAGCAAACTCAGTTAGTGGGGGCGCAGAGCCCCAGGGCGGCGTCTTAGGGGAAGAGTCTCTGGGGTTCAAAGTCCAGCAACTCTTGCTGCTGCAGCTGCAGGATGGGACCGTTTCAGTCTCTGGGCCGAGACTTTGGGATCCCTTGCATGCTGCTTCTGAGGATGATGACGCCTGCTTTTGTTTGGTCCCGTGCCACTTGCAACATGCTTTGGGGCACCTCAGGTGCCGGCGTCCAGTGTTCTCGATCAACATGTCAGTACCACAAGATGCCTCCTGTGGGACTGGATGTCTCCCGGGCGGGTCAGGCAAGTGCCAGCGCAGGAAAAGGAGGGAGTTTTTAAGAACGTCCAGGCTGGGGTTTGGAAGACTGCGGCGAGCAGAGCTGCGTTGGGCTGGATGCCAGCTTGGAGGAGATTATGGGTACTCACTCTTTGGCATCCTAGGGACCGCTAGGGATCCTTGGAAGCAGGGAAAATGGATCTGCAGCCCACTTGCCAAGACTGCTGGGAAGCAAGCCCTGGGCGCCCCCTCCCTCGGGCCGAGGGACTCCGCCTGCCCATAACCTACATAAACTCACCAGTGCAGCCGGGGCCCATCTGCCGGCCCCCGCCTCACCTCGGGTTCCCCACGCCAACCATCACGCGCCAGATGGTGGCTGGGAGGGGTGGCCGTGCGTGGGGGACCCCGGTGCCCGTCTCCTCACCTCTCCCCTCCCCCAACCCACGCTCCCAACCTCTCGTTTCATCCTCCCCCACCCCAATCCTCCTCCACCACCACCACCCCCCCACTATCATGATCC